ATTTTTCCAACTAAAAGTCTATTTGGAGACCACAAGTACTGGAAAAAATATTCAATGTAATGGTCACATCACATTATCAACGCCATTTAGTGTCACCAACCAACAGAGCAGCTGAATACCACCCCTACAAGGGTTGGATCAAAATGAACTTGATGGGCCTTTCATTAAGGAACACCAACAAGGTGGCTATGGAGTTGTTGTGCGTGATAATTTGGGTAATTTACTCCAAGGACCATCAGGTGCTTTGAATGCCACATCAGCACTTATCACTGAAATAGTAGCAGTTAGAGCTGCTTGCAGATTGGCAGTAGAAAAGGGCTATCAAACTGTCATTGTAGAGATTGACTCCAAACAGCTTAATAATTCAATTACCAAAAACATAGAGGATAGTCTAAGGGAGCTAGCCCCAATTCAAATGGACATTATAAAATATGTTGAACAACTCCCTCAAATTCTTTTCAGAGCAATTAGGAGAGAAGCTAATACGGTTGTGCATGTGGTAATGACAAAAATTAGAGAAAAAGCACTATTCTCTTAGTGGATCACATATCCACCCCCACGACTGAACCACATTCTAAGGGAGGAAGCAAGAGTTGGTGTAGGATAGGTTTATCGAATGTATTTGACTTAGTCTTTCATAGACTTTTTTAATGAAACATGTGTCTTCGAACCCAAAAAAAAAAGATGTGAAGGCTTTGATTAATATTGGGAAGCACTAGAAGTTTGTATAATTTATTGTATGTGATGGGATATTTTCACGAATTGATGGGGAGTCAATACGTGGCCTCGGTATGATGAACGCGAAGCCCTCATGAATCGACACGTGTTCTCGACATGAGACCTGTTGGAGCTCTCTGTGACTGACACATGTTCTTGGCATAACAGTACTCGAGACCCTTCATGAAGCAACACATGTCCTCAACGGGAGTCTTTTCGGGGCTCTCTCTGATTAACACGTGTCCTCGACATTTGTATTCTCGGAGCAACCTCTGTTTGACACGCGTCCTCGACGCCAAGGTCTCTTGAAGCCCCAGCAGCTCAACACGTGTCCTCAACGTCAAGGTCACCCCCCGCGGGACCCTCCACTTGACACGTCTCCTGGGCATTGAGTCCTCCACGCCGGCCATGAATAATGTTTTGGTAATTATCGTGACTTGGAAGCGAACTTGACAATCAATGATCAATTCCTCTTTTCTAGGCTATCAAAATGGCAGGAAAGACAGTCCACTGACCAATGATAAGGGTACAAGAAGTGTAAAGTTCTGAAGTGTCAACCCCTTGGGGGGGATAATGGACAAAAATACCCTTGCACGACTATAACCAGGGAACATTAAATGACTCAATCCATAGGATGATACGCATTTATTGCTCGAAAATATCAAGGAGGCGAGCATTAAATGCCCAAAGGTCCAGGAATTAAATGCAGAAACTTCTACCACGTGAAAAAGGAAGGCTTATTGCTCAAGGATTGACCACCACCTGTTGCCTTCCAAATGAGCCAATGAGGAGTCTTCCCTCTAGGGGACCCAACAGTCCGTAATGATTGACTCCAAGGAGGTATAAATTGTGCTCACAACACATAAGTCTAAGATACACAATATCTAATAGAATAGTGGTTTGTCAACCCTCTCTTATATACTGACTTGATCGTCGGAGGGGTCACGCCAAAAAACACTGTGGTGCCCTTCAAACTTTTTTGTTGAGTGACAGGACCTAGTTCGATCACTTGAGAGAAAATAGATAATTTGCAAAGAGTCTTATCACCCTTCATCACCATTTTTCAGCATCCATTTGTTGTGGAGCCTTTGACTTTCCAGGCAAACTTGAGTTCACTAGGGGAAAGATCTGTTAATTCATTTATTGTGCCAAAATCACCGTGCACAGTATGATAACCATTTTGTTAAAATGTTTAGGTTTTCAATTGAGGATAATTGAAGTTTATATTTGATGATGGTTTATGCTAAAAAAAATGAATTAAAAGTTGCGTGCAAATGTGTTTGATGTTTGGCCTTAATGGACTTTGCATATGATTATGAGAATGTTCTTATTATCAAAACAAGTGGTGTGCGCCTAATGTAGTCCAACAAACAGAGTCCAAGCCTAGCTTGTTGAAGCAGCCACACAAGGCCATGTCGCAGTCGAATCCCTGCATCAACTTAGTAGGCATAAAAACATGTACAATTATTAATGCAAAATGGATTATTGGATTTTTATAACTCGTTGGTTGATTTTAGTCCTAGTATAAGTTGTAAAATATATTCATATTTAATGAATTAAGAGATTATTATTCTTAATTTGTCTCTTTTTGCTTGTTTTTAACAGGCAATTCTATATTTATTTATTCCATACTAATTCAAAATTGGTGACTTTTGGTTAAAAACATCAATTTAAATAGTTACATTTTTTTTTCATAAAATCACTCATTAATACCTTTTTGTTAAAAAACACTATTACAAGCACAACTTTTTATAAAGTCACCATTAATATCTCTTGGGCTAAAAGACACAATTTCAAATGGTTGTATGTTTTCATAAAGTCATCATTGATACCCTTTAGATTAAAAAGTACCATTACATATAGTTACACCCTTTATAAAAAGTCACTAGGGAGTTTATAAATAGGTGATTCCTTACACTCCCAAAATATATTATTGAACAATTCAATAATTATTTTCTCATTCTAGTTATCTCAATTATCCAAAATACTAAATTAAGTATTCAGTCTTTCTTCTCTCTCTTTTTGCATATTATTGTATTATTATTTTAAGTTCGGTTCAAGTATAAATGCAGAATTGTGTTCGTTAGAGTCTTGGAGATTGAAGTACTACATCTTCAAGAACGAAATCATTTCTATTTTGGGAGACAATTACTTATCAACCTTAAGCACCGAAAGGGAGCAAATCTGTCTTAAAGAAACTGTAATTACACAGGGCTCCAATAATTATTTTTATTATTGAATTTCAGAATTTCTGGTTTTCTAGATTTTACTATTCATGTTGTTCTGTGTTAACATAAGTGTACTGATTTTAATTTCTATACATTCTGTTTAGATTAGTGCATAAGTTATACTTTATACAATTTAGTATAATCTAATTATATACACATTTTCTATAACACATTGATAGTAATATAAAGAAACTACTTATAGGTTAATTAAAAATTGTTGTCAAACGAGTTTTGTATTTTCATTTTCATAATTTCTCATAACTAAAACAACAACCAAACAAAGTTTATGTTTTAACATTTTATCAACTATTTTTCATTTTCAATTTTTTTTTGAAAACTGAAAACATTCCCGAATAGTAGCCAACTTAAAAATTTTTTTTTTGGTTGAAACTAGTTTTCTTTCTAGATCATCAGAACATATTTGATTTGATTTGACTCCTTTTTATACAATGGGCTCAAATTTGAACCCAAACTCAAGTAAATCTAAAAACTACATGTCGAATGAGAGCCAAATTAATAGAATTTGTCCATTAAGTTTAAATTAAAAGTATTCTTTTGTTATCTTTTTAATCAAAAAAATACTTGTATATTAAATTATAAACAAATCGAGGTTGGGCTTACTCGATCAAACGATACCTTAGGCGGGTTAGGTTTTAATGGTAAAGAAACTTAGAAATTCAATTATTTTTAATTTATTCTATAGTAAAATAATTATTATCAATTAAAATCGAATTGAATCCAAACACGTAGTTTTCCTATGCTGACCAACTTTTTTTACAAAATTATATATTTTTCAAATAAGGTGACATCATCATCCCCCAATAAATAAAGGCATCACATAAATGTTTAATAGTTAAAATTATGTTACATTATTTAGAATAAAAATAGGGATACAAATTTAGGAAACATATCAATTATAAATCCAATTACATTATTTTTTTTAAATGATCACGAATTCAAATCTCTTTCTCTCAAAAATAAAAAAAATGGCTCATATTGGTGGAGAAAATCTATCTATATATACATAACAAACGAGTTAGAAGGGAGAAGACTTGAGAAACCTTTTTTCTACATTTCTTAATTTTTTAGAATTTTAATTTTGTTAATTATCAGACTAAGTTTCTTCTAATCACATTCTACCATACATCTTTTGTAACCATCTCTCAACTCTCTATTAATTATCCACTATTTTGTCAAATTTATTTTTAATATTTAATAATATAATATTATTTTTTATATACTCTCTTAAGTAATAAGGTGAAAGAAAAAAATAAATTAAAATAAATTTTAAAAATGATAGAATATATCATGTGCGATCCATGACGCTTGTATTCATTATAATGTTGACATCATGTCATTATCGTCATTTGGTGTCATCATTTAATAAAAACATAATAAAGAGAGTAAATGGATTCCTCATATTTTAGTAATCATCATTCTATTTCATTTGATAAAAATCACTAATATAAAAAAGTGAATTTTTATTTAATTCATTTTGTTATATTTTTATTAAATTATGACATTACATGACATTAATGATGTGGTGTGATCGTTGTATTGAATATTTTTACGATGGTTCGAAAATCAAAGAAAGAGATAGATCATATTGAAAAATCTTAACTTGATCAATTACAATCATTAAATAGGTAGTGAGTCATAATATGCATGTTAATAGATTGAATTTTGATTCAAATCTATTTAGTCGGAGTTGAATTAATATATTTGATCCAATCTAAATTATTTAAATATTTAAATATAAATATTAAAAAAATTAATTAATTATTTAAAAAAATTTAATTTAAAAAAATTTATTAAAATTTAATTAATTAAGTTATTCAAATCGAACGTTTAAAATCAAATTCAGATTCGGATAAATTAAAAATTGATCTAAATTTTATCCGTCGACAGACGTACATATTAATAAATATTGGGAAATAAATAGCAGTAATTAATCTTTTTCACTGAAACCAACACTTGTCGGTCTAATTCTAACACATTAATCGACACCTGTCAATCGCCATCGAATTTCTTGACCATCGGGAAAGAGAAAGCGCCACCAAATCCAAAACCACAACTAAACCCACTTCCTTCGATATGCTCAGTCGACAACTTCGCAGTCAAGAAAGAGAAACGATTCGAAGATCAAATCTCTCACAGTGACAGGTTTCGGTTAAGGCTAAAATTTCTCGAGGTCTTAGAAAGTGAGAGAAAATGGAGAGAAAGGGTGAGGGATCAGAGAACTCACTGATGAGAGGTAGTAGAAGCACTTCTTCAACCAACCATACCGGAGTTAGAGCCAGACCTGACCCGTTTCTGGTGGTTTGTAGATTCTTCAGCGTCATTACCTCTATTGCTGCTATTCTCTGTATTGCCGTTAATATTCTCTCTGCTGTGCGTTCTTTCGAGAACGGATCCGATGTAATCTCTCTCCCTCTCTCCATAAAAATATGTATACGCACAGTATATTACATTGTATCTTTGTATATGTAGACTAAGACTGAGAGCTTGTTGTAGATATTTGATGGGATATTTCGATGTTATGCTGTTGTGATAGCGATCTTCGTGATTGTTGCCGAGACAGAATGGGGATTCATTACCAAGTTCTGGAAGGTTTGATTTCATTCTTAGTTTTATGCACTCTGAAATATGGGATATTGCAATGAAAATGAACGAAAAATGTCTTTCTCTCTACATCAATTTCAGAAGAGTTTGCTGTTCGTTTCCCGAGAATTTCATGCCTATCAGTGGGCAATTTTGCTAGAAGATTTAGGCATCACTCAGGGTACTGCATAATGAATACAATTTATTAGTGGATTTCTGCATCTGGAGCAATTCTAGAGGGACCTAATAAGCTTGTGAGTTCTGATGTTAGATGGAATTCACTTTTATACCAACAATTATAATTGATAGGTCCCCACATTAGGTCCAAGTAACATTTTCCTATGTATCTACTCTTATTAGTGGCACATTGATGAGGAATAGAAATTCAGCTATCTAAATCTAAAGTTCTTCCACTATCTGATTAACCTGCTAATTGAGTCAAACTACCCTAAAGTCTCCTATGAGGGAAATGAGTTTCTTCAGGAAATTATTGCACTGTGAGTTCACAAGGAAAACTGAATGATTTGGCAGATATTGATCCTGCGTTACTCATGGAAAATGTGCTTGTGTAAATCTTTTTATTTACTGTTGGCGTTTGTCACGGTTGGAGACTTAGAACTTGAATCTTTTATAGCTTTGGAGACATATCCCTACCGCTTTATAGTCACTTAACCAACTCTTCGTCATTTGTGGTTCTAATGTTCATTCAATTTGGTTGGATCTCTTAGTCTAAAACTGGTTCTAATACAATTGATTAATTTCTTGATTTTGTTGTTCGTTCTGTTTTGCAATAGCAAGAATGTATGTATAATTTTGCATTGTAAGAGTCTAATCCCAGAGGAAATAAAAAATCTACTAGAAAAGGTCAAATTTCAGAGAGTATGATCTGATAGTAAGAACAGTTTAATTGAGTTGGTAACTTCCTCTTCATTTGAAGAGACTTCTATTGTCTTGATCTTGATAAATTAAGCGCCACCCCCTTAACGCCGCCCCAACCCATGCGGCATACGCACAATAAGTTGTAAACAAATTTTTCCAGAAAGGTTGGAATTTTTATATGAAAACCTTCGTTCTTTTTGTTTTTTCCTTGGATACTTCAAAGAAACTTGTGGTATCCCTTTGGTAGAAAACCAAAATTGTGAGACAGACCTATATACTTGAGAGAAATGAGAAGCTTTGCAGCAGAGACTGCTTTTCTTATTATATAATATTTCCTTACTTTCATTTGTTGAATTGTTCTTAGCACAGGGAGGCAGCTAGTCCTTGTTGTATAAGGTAGGAGTAGACGCATGATTAATTTCATTTCATATCTTTTTTTTGGGTGGCCTTAATGGCAACTTATGCAATAGACAAGTTATGATCTGCCTTTTCTTGAAAAATTACATACACACTAAATGATTTATTGGCAATCGCTTATTTATATATTTGTACCTATGTGTATCACTTGCTGTAGTCATTGGCTTTCCTTGACAAATTGCAACTTCTAAATCATTCTTTGGTGTTCCTTTTAGCACCAAGCTTGCTAGTACCACTGCTGCTGTTTTTTTTTGGTGTTAAGATAGCTCACATTATTTTATTTAAAATTTCAATCACCATGGTGCAGGTTTTGGAGTATTGGGCCGGGAGGGGTATGCTACAGATCTTGTATGTGTAATTTTAAGTAACGTCTTGTACTATCTCTTCAAATTATTTTTCCCCTCCAGATGACTTGTCCTTGGGTTACAGTCCTAGACATAATCGACCCAAGGAGGACCTGAGTATTGTTTTAATTAGTCATCATTTTTAATTTTTCTTGAATTATTTTATTTAGCTTGTGTGAGTTGGATTTGGATTTGAATTTAGTTGCAAGGAAATAAAGGTTAAAAAAAAAAGGGTGTTGGTTGATCATAAGTCTTCATGTAGCCGACCCCAAAATTATTGGTACAAGTTTATGTTTTATGTTGAGTTGTTTGATCATAAGTCGGCAGAAAGTGACTCACTTTCTATTCGCATAGATAAGATAGTGACAATTCTTTCTGGATAGCGGCGTCCTTAATATTTTGAGAAGCAATCACTGGAACAATCGCATGCACACTTGTGCCCCCCCGCGGGCTGCCCCAACCCAAAAAAATCCCAAGTTTTAGTTTGATTTTTGAAGTTATTGATTACTTTTGTCCCCTTCAGTGTTGCAGTGATGACCAGAGCTTACCCTGACTATTCTGAGAAGCGGAAAGAGCTTGTTCTCCTTCAGAACATAGCAGGCTACCTGCTTCTTGCCTGTGGTGTGGTTTACGTTATATTGGTAGGATTAATCAAACAGTCGATTATACATGCCTTTATCTTGAAACTAATGCATACATACAAGTACTTTAGGAATTTGCATACGTCATCTTCTGTGTGACCATCTGCAATCTACTTGTGTTATTACTGATATCTGTTACCTCCTGTTGACAAAATGTTTTATTGTTTGATAAACAGCTTCTAGTTTGAACTAGGATTTGGTTTCTTTTGTTTATGATACACCATACTCAGTCTATCAACTTTCAGGGAATTCTATGCATTGGGGTTGTCAAACGTGCTCGCCAGAAGAAAGAAGTTTCAAGAGAGCAAGCAGTTAAGGATCTTGAGGTAATCTACTGTGTTGCCATAGTTTTAAAATGCTGCTGTTTAAACTGGACTTTAATCCATATTACATGTCCGCCCTTTTGTTTGCAATTATTATTATTAATTTTTGTATACGCGGGCCGTGATTTATTTTTTGTAGAAGACCAAATCTGGAACCTCGGACAACATCTCATCCTTTAACTTGTTGCTTGCTAGTAGAAGATGCGAAACCAGTTCTAAATGGATTTAGAACACTCAGAAAATATTGAACCTTTTGGTTATCCCTAACCGAAACGCTGATGGATGACTTCTATTCCAATGTTTTAGAAACATTGGTTCAAATGAAATTCTGTGCATAAGGTTTCTTTGATGAAGGCCATCTAGTGTTCAGTCTTGATCTACTGACGATATGCTGAAGTGGCCCATTGTGATGCTCAAGTGTCATTACTCATGTCTAAAGCTTAAAAGAAGATTCTTTTTTGTTTTTGTTTTTTCAACTGGTTTCTTTTGGGTTTTTTAGGCTAGGGGTGGGGTTACCTAGGGGGACAGTAATGAGCTTCAGAGTGATTGCTGAGTCATCGTAAGCGTCAAACTTCGGGTGCTGTGATCTGTACATAAATGCATAGTCATTATAGTGTTCCTGCTACTGAATATTGTAGTTCTATGAGTATATTTCTTTTATCAGTGGTAAGGAGGATGGATCATGGATGGGGGGTGCTGGGATAAGGGATGGTTTAGAGTTGTGTTACATATTCAATTTCCTCTTAGATTTTGTATGGAGTATGTGGAGATTTATGTCAACAATTTGAAGTAGTCTTGACAATTGTTTTTTGATCTTTTTTTTTTATTTTTTGATTGAAGATAATTTTGTAGGAATTGGATTAGTAACTTCCTTTTGGGTAACAATTGCAGGAATTGGAACGTCGTAGAGAGGAACTTGAAGCACTGCTAATTGTAGATAGGACTTTAGACTTTGGCAACCCAATGCCATCTCAATGATCAAACTGAGGGGTTAGGCTTTGGAAAGTGAGACGTGCACATCTCCAATGAATCTCATGTTTGAATGATTATATTGTTTCATCTGATTCTGAGCTGCTTTCTTAACCTGAATAGTTGACAGTAATATATTATTTGTAGTTCAAAAAAAAAAAAAAACTCTTTTGTAAAATTGTACAGTTGTGTGTAGAGGCTAGTGGTTCCGATATATGCAATTGTCTTACTAATAAAAAACCCATGGAATATGAATCCACCCTCTATTTTCTGTACATCTTCTGTCGATTTCCTCTAACAAATATCGCAGGCCCTCATATCTAGAAAATCTTTCTTGTAACTTCTTATGGAAGCTTTTTATAGGCAATGTTGGTGGAAGTGTGTCGACTATAGCATATACCATGATTGCATCATTCGAGTCAAACCCTCGATTTTTTAGTTTGTCGTATAATTGTTTCTTTTTTAGCAAATGGTCTCGCACACTTGATTATGGATCCATCTGCTCTTGTTCAAATTGTATCCATAAGGGCTGTCTGTCATGCTCCGCTTCCTCCAACAATATGACAAACTGTATTGCTCATGTTGGTCTAATTTCTTTTAGAAGTCGATACACAGTATTTTTTATCTTTTTTTGAATTCCTGATTTTTTAGCTTGCAGCAAGTGGTCTGTGACGGTCAAGTTTAGGTGTCTTGATCTCTTTGTGAGGGTTAAGAGTTCTGACCACTCGAAGTTGTTTAGTGGGTGGTGGCAGTAATGATGCCTTCCGTATTTGGGCCGTTGTGCAATAGTTTATAGTTGTGCTGGCCCTAATTTAACGTTCCCGAAATGACCTCCATGGATATAGTCTGATGGAGAACTCTACGGTATCGGAAAAAAAATCGATACCAATGTTATTACAAAACAGTTTGTATCTGAGTAGCCTTCAATCTTAGGAACCCTCCCTCTGGCTCTTCTATCACTAATCTCATGGCTTTGGCATCCGCGTCACCACCAGAATGGATGAGACGTCCTCCACTGGTAGCATGAGCAAGTATCTCCAATCGGGGTGTGCAACCAAGATTGACCACACCCCGGTCAGACGTTCGAGTCAAAAAATCACGAGGCAGTAATATCGAAGAATCCATATAAATGGCAGCATGGTAAGATCAATTGCAAACACCACAAAAACTTTGCCTTCTATTTATCCAACCATTTGATAGTGCTAGACCAGTTTGAATCAACAACTTTATTACTTCTGTGTTCCACCAAATTTGGTGGGAGCACACCAATTGGTTGGAAGAGTTCCTCAAGGAGAGTGATATACTTCAACCACACTAGCAGCCCGCCTTTCCGATCCGAAAGGTATTGAAAATGAAAGAAGAATCTGTGTGCACTGTCTATTGAGGGAGTGACACTCGCATTTTTTCACCATGGTAGACATCCTTTGGCCACTTGAAATGTCAAATATGTTGGTATATCGCGTATTTCACAGCATTCTTGATGCATAGTAAGGCCTAGACCTTTCAAAGTCCAACACGACATGATTAATTGACACGAATTAAGCGGGTTTGGGTGAAACCTTAACGAGTTCGGGTGATAAACGAGTTGTCCCATTAAACACGTTTAATAAATCGATCGTGTTCGGGTGAGACCTGTCAACCCATTTATCATCCATTTAAAAAAATTAATATAATAATAAATTAATAATTATTTAAAAAATTTTAGTCAAAATTAAAATATTATATACAAATATATGGTAAATGAATAAAGAAAAATCTTAATTCAAACAAAAAAAAAAACAGTAAAAACACATTTGAATATCTACACAGTGAAAAGGCATTTGAATCTCTCAATCAAGCTTCTCGTGGGTCTGCACGTGAAAGGTTTTGGCTTGACTTGAATCCCACATCGGTATATTTAAATCAAAGAGACCTCCCATGCCTATAAAATGTTGCAACTCTTTTCTTTAGTCATTTAACCTTCTCATTTACTTTTACAAGTTGCTGCCAATTAGAAAATTTTTAATTAAGAGAGTACAATTGTTGTAGATAATTAATGAAGTTTAAAATTTTAATAAAATAATTTTTTGGTATATAAGTTAAAATTTTAATAAAATTAAATGAGTTGTGTTGTATTATTTATTTATTAAACGGTTTATGTTTATGTTAAAATTTTTTATTTTGTTTATTAAATGTGTCATGTACGAGTTTATATATTTTTTATCCGTTATCCGTTTAATCTGACACGTTTAACACTCCTAATTTAGGTGAGAAAGGGAAAGTGTTCCAATCCGGTGCCTTTGTGAAATGTTCGGGCCGCTTGTTCGCCGGATACCAGACTTTAACTCGTCTGGTGGCCCCAACTCCCAAGTAAATATTGTAATGTTGCAATCTCTGCAGATTTTTGGGGTTGAAACGGCAGCACGTGCCCACATGCGATCCAGGGGAACACCATAACATGGCATTGTTTAGCAGCCATGGATGCTTGGAAGCAAAAGCAGGTGCTTAGTGCTTTTCATTTTGTAATCAATTACTAGATAGATAAAGCTACAGTGCCAACGTCTGTAATGATTTAAAAATAATAAATATATGAAAAAACATATCTTTTTCTCTGATGAACAACATATAAAAATAACCTTAACAAATGATAATAAGAACGAGTTGTAAACCTAGATATCTTGAGTTTAAATCTTAACAATCCCTTGGACCAGACCATAAGAGATTTATTTTTCACGAATATTTTAGTTCCGACATGAATAATCTGTCTTTAATTGGACCAAAGAGAAGATTGCTCGAAATACATATAAATTGGCCAAACACTCTGACCTGTTGAAACAAAATAAAATAAAATAATAGAGGTTAAAAGTAGATACAAATTTGGTATTACTACTATGCTACCCACTCTTTAAATGGGAATTAGATCATGTTTGGTTGGCGGTAATCTTGGGTAAGAATGGGTATCTCATTCCTAAATCTATAATTACTACGTTTGGATATTATGTTTGATAATATCCAACAAATACCAGATTCTTTGGTGTGCAACAAATACCGGTGACGCGGTGTGTAAAATCAACTCCATACTAAAAAGGGTCAAAATATAATTTGCCCCAAAAAAACACTCTTTTTTGGACAGTGTACAACAGTTTCTCCATCTCAATCAAGCAATGATTCTGAAATTGACATGTATAATAGAAAACATCAGACAACATTATCATAACAAAGCATGGATAATATACATGTTGTACTGTCAAATACCCATATTAAGCGAACTGTAGCCTTAGCAATGCTGTTGCTCGTCGCTCCTTTAACCATACACCATTGCATAGTGCCTGAGACTCTCATCTCTGCTGGTTCATCCCATCTCTCTCACATGACCATGTACTTTCATCAACTTCTTCATGAATTATTATTCCTAATCTTATTTCAATGCTTCAATTTATTTATATATATTACCCAGAAAGCCTGAACTTCAAACTATAGACCATACAAAAATAAGTAAAATATATTTAAATAAAAAAGTGCGCTCAATAATATGATTGCAACTGGATTGGATGGGTGATCAAAAACTGTTTCTTTCTTACTGATAACCTCCTCTGTTCCTCAAATTTCAGTTGGGGAAAGGTGGGCTGCAGAAGAAGTAGATGAGAAAAGTTAGGCTTATAGGTTTTACTGAAAGATAGTCGGGTTAATAGTACTTTTGATCTTTAAAATATGTATAATTTTTTGTCAATTTAGTCTTTATTGTATCAATTTTGTCAATTTGGTCCCTAAAGTATTTAATTCGTATCATTTTGGTCGTTATATAGACGGACCGTTAAGTTTTTGATGGAATGATCGCGTGTTGGACACGTAATACTATCTAAAAAATAACACGTGATTACTTTTATAAAAAAATTTGACCGATTGTTTAATTAGAGACTAAAGTGACACAGATTGAATACTTTATAGACAAAATTGATACTTTAAGAACTAAAAGTGTTATTAACTCAAGATACTAGTCATTGAGGTTTTGACAAGCTAGTGAAGAATTCACATGCAAAGATCACAACCATTGAACGATTCTGTAGTTGAACATGGGGGTGCGGCGTAAACCTCCACATACAGATTCCAAATTCCCTATCTATATGAAATCCGGATTAGCATTGCAAGTTGTAATTGAGTTCAAAAAACACATGGTTGGGAGGATTCTATATTATCGAAATGTATGTCTTTGCTTAATAAAACGAACTTTGGAGACTGTTGCTTATTCCAAAAATCTATAATACTAATCCTAGCAGACCTGACAACCCGAATTTTCAAGATTATTTCAAAATACTCCATAGATTTCACACTTTATGTTAAGTTTACTAGTAGATGAACTAAATAATCTTACCCCAACTTGAGGGAAGTGTCAAAGCTGTCGTAGCCCTGAGGAGGATCAGCTGAGTAGTTGGCAATTGCCCATGACGAATGCCCTTGTGGAAGAACATTGGTTTCAACATGAGTCTGGAATCAGAAATTCAAATTAATTAAGGAAAGGCAGTAGTATAAAACATTAACTAATTTTCTTTCTACCGGTCTTTTTTCACAATTTTTTTACCATAAATTATAGTTTCAAACTTTTTTACCAAATTACAATTCTTTCAATAAAAGCGTATTTTCAAAACATGACTTTTACGTAAAGTCGTATTTCGAAAACACACTTTCAGTGTAAAAACCTTTAAAAGTGTGTTTCCGAAACGCATCTTTACATTGAAAGAAAGTTACTGTGATAAAAAAACAGTTACAAAAGTTGGTATTTTGATACAAGAAAGAGAAGGAACGCTGAAAATCTAACTTGCTGTTCCAACAACGCATTCTCTTTCATCAATTGGGCTTCCTGCATGTTCATTAAGCAGAGTGATAAGAATTCAAAGTAAAAATTATAAATGGAATGTAAATCGCCTTATGATCACATCTTATCTAGATTAGAACTATTGTAACCATGGGAACTCACCCAAAATAGTTAGCCAATGAATTGTCTTTTGTAGTTCATGTTTTTACATTTATACCCAAGGTCCCATTCAAAATTTTAATATAGAATTCAACACATGCCTATACGAGTCGTCACAATCTCCCATCATTTTCTCCCTCATGTCCCCAAGTGGAACACATAACCAATCACAAATACCACACTCAACTTGTGGTCAGCCTCGATCAACTAACCCCACATTGTAGTGCCCCCAAATCCACACAGTTGTTTGCATGAATCGGCTCTGAGATCGTATGTTGTAATCATGAGAATTCACCAAGCCAAGCCTAGAAGTTTTTATTTGTAGTCATTGTTATGTACTAACATCCTACATATTAAACACACATGCCGCCACAAAAAACTTTTGTACATGGTCCAAAATTTCTTATTTCCCTCATCTTTCTGAAACAATACTAACTAATTGCAAAGCTTAAAACTGTAACTATTGATTGATACCTTGGCATTGCAGACTTTTCCACTTGTCTTGCTTTGTAAGAATTCTCAAACACAAACCTTGGTGACCATTAGATTATTGCATTCCCATTAGTGAGGTTGTATTATTCAATTTCTTTATCCTTGAAAAGGTAATTTACTGACTAAAAATGGGGATATTACGATGAATCTTAAATGTGTCCTAAAGAGCCGGATTAATTATTTTTTTTGGAAAGTAAATAAGTTTATTAAACAGAAAAAATAAGATATACAATGAAGTTCAAGACATGCCAAAAATAAAGGCCACACGAAGCAATACTTAAAAAGTTTACTCCGTCTATACACTTAGCCTATATATAAAATAATCTCTCACAACCCGAGATTAGACACAAAAAGCTAGAACGGGTCCATAAGCCCACCTTCCCTATCTTTTGTGCTGTGTTTTTTCTTTTCATTTTGGGATGTAAAGTAAAAGTGTATTTATTTTGTCAGAAATTGTTTAGAAGCCATGAATGACCTTCTTTAGAATTGTTGTGTTACTTCTATCTACTACCACTATGAATCAAAAAGTGGTGAGTGAGAAATCCAATCTCAATGAATAATGGAGTGATAGCCAGTATCCTACTAGATTGATTCAACCTATGTGCATATGAAGCTATAAACAAAAGAGGCACAAAATGTGTTATTTTGAGGTCCTCTATGGCAAGTTATTAGTGGAAAGCTAAGTGCTTCCGAGTTGAAAAGGAAGGCTAGCGGAGCTAAAACAAATATTACAAACGTTTATGCATTTTTTTGCCTTTTGATTCTATAAGCTATACGAAATTTCATGCAAGATTTTGGAGTAGACTGACCTTTTTCTTAAGAGCACCAATCTCTTTTATACTTTTCTCACACTAAAATTCATGAAAAAAACATGTAATATTGTGTTAGTGCTGCATAGTCCTAAATGGATGAAATCATGATAATACCAACAATATTAAAGACAACCAGAGGGTACAAACCTTTGTTCTTAGGACACGACTTAATTTTCCTTCCAGCAATTTTTCCAGTTTCATTAACTCTTCCAGATTAAGTCCCTCAAGCTCTTCTCCCCTCAGTTTCCTATTACAGGATAAATTTTATCTCAATGTTACAAAATTACATGTGCATATATATGCATACACACACCCCCCACCCCATTTAATGGCAATGCAGCTATACCTCAATTCATGGGTCTTTTCTGCAACTTCTTTTCTCAACATGGCATATCTAGTATTCTCAAGCTAAAAAAGAAAATGCCAGGTTTCCCATTAGCAAAATATTACTGCAATATATAATCTGTCACAAAATTAATGAAAAACTGTGTCCGTTTTACTATTTTCCTTTAACTTTCTAATGTAAGGAACACGTTCCAGTTGCATGTTTTGATAACACTTCGGAGAACAACTGATGCCACATAATATTCAGGCGTTTGCTAGAACATTGAACTCAGTTTAAATGGTTAATCGAGCTTGGAGATTGTATGACAACAGCAAGTAGTGTTGGCTCATTGTGTAAAGTAAGAGGGCACTGCCTGCCTTGGGAAGCCTAGGGGGTGTCTTTGGATGCTCCCATGTTATACTATGCTTTTAGGGATTGGATCATGAGAATTATAAGTCACTCTAGATTAAACTTTTTTCAAAATGCGATTTAAGTACCTTTTGATTTCATTGTAGATGTTTTGCAATAAGTGTTTCCCAACAAAAAAAGAAGATAATGTGCAATGTGCTTCTTACTCGTATTATAGGTTTACAGCTCATGACTCCAAACAAAATTGGATGGATAAGGTATTCACTCTATATGCATCATAATATCAAGAAGCTCTATGGGGTTTTTTCCCTGGTAATTAAATAAAATTTATTTCCAAATCAGAAGATATACAATATAGCTCAAAACAAGCCTAATAAGTAATTAGAGCAATCGTATAAGAGAAAGCTCAAAAAACCTAGACTACAAATAAATAAACTCGAAGACTGAATGACTAAAAATTCAAAATACTCCTTCCACATCTTGAGAGACTTGGAGGAGCAAACCCACTATAGAAACCGAGCCATCATACACCATATATCAATTGAGATCATGAGTTATAGATTTAGACTCCAGCCTAACCCATGTTGTGATTGAACCCAAGAAGCTCTAAAGTTAGATCAACTGGCTGATACAATCTCAGAAAAGGGTGTTATATATCAACCATGCTTTGCTATTACAAGCACATTGACCAACAACCTATTTACAGAAAGTCCAGCCTTAATTCCAAACTTTAATTTGCCACTTTGTTTTTCATAATTTCGTTTGTTTGGAGGATTTCCAGTGAAACTTTCATTAGTGGCAGATAGTTTCATATGGAAACTAAGTCTTTTTTCTCATTCTTCATATAAATCCTTATTTATTTTTCGAATAGCATGGCTGGATGATTCAGTTTTACTCGGCACTTGTTTAAACCTCAACTAGTGCATAAAAACTAGAGAACAACAAAATTTACCTGCAGCTTGTAAGATGGCTGGTTTTGTTTTCCCAGATTGTCTGTTTGTAGTCTATACTTTGCCATAACATGTTTCACACTTCACAACAAAAGAGGATGGCACAATCAGTTTCTGAACTAATTAGACCCAAGCAAGTCAGTAACATAAAATACACATTAGTAGATAAAACATGACAATAGATAAACTCAATAATGCGATTGTTATAGCTTATGTCCATTTACTTTTTCTTGTCATTTAAAGGAACTCTTAAGCACGAAAAACTAAAAAGCTTTACACAAGTAGAATTTTTGGGTAACCTTTAGTGTAAGTGATATTGTTGTTTCTTCTAAATCAAATGCACCTTGCATTAGTAGCAACCACGTGGAAAAATGAAATTTAAATTCCTGTCAAGCACCATGGATCTATTGGTTGTAGATGGATGAAAGAAGGGAAGTTACAGAAAGAAGCAGTGAAGGCTCGCAAAGTAGAAAACAAGGGTGCAAGGTTTTTTTTTTCTTTTTTCCAGAAAGTAAAAATTTTATTAATGGGAACCATAGAATGTACAAATAAGGCAGAGCCTTCAACAAAATACATTAAGCTTAGCCTAGTATAACAATTTGTATACAAATACAACATAAACAAGAAAGAGACTCTACGAGATAGAATTCTGAAGGCAATATACTTATTAAGCCAATACTTCCAACAGAATCTTACTTCGACAGAGCATCACTTGGTAGAATGAAAGATCATGAAGCACTACAAGTGTTCAAGCATCCAAAACAGCCAACTGATAGCAATAGGCAACAAATAGGAATAGTGTCTTGTTGCTCGCAAAAGCATGATATGGGTCCAAATCATCAGCTAGTGTTGTTTGACACATTTTTAAGGAAGTGACCAGGGTTGCATCAAAATTTGGTTAGCATTAGTGCTCTTAAACTTTGATGAAACTAGCTTGCCTTTGATAGTGGATTCGATGGAATTTAGTAGAGTTATAGTCCCTGCATTGATTGGTGAAAGCATTGTTGTTTCTTTCTTTCCAAATATAGTAGTCTATGTGAATAACTTAAGGATGACATTGTGCATAGATCTGCCCTTCTAATTCTGACTTACCCAGCCATTGAAATTTCTCCAAGGCCTTGGCGGCCACTATGAATCTTGTAAGAGATAATGGATTTCCAAAGCCTTTGAGAGTATGTGCAGGTAAAAAAGAGATGGTCATTTATTGTTGAAATGGAGAAGTGGAGAAATATAAGGCAAGATTGGTAGCAAAGGGCTATAGCCAACGTCCTGAAATTGATTATGGTGAAGTATTTGCACTCGTTGCTCGGTTAGAGACCATCCGAATGATCATTTCACTTGCGGCTCAAAAAAGGTGGAAGATTTATCAAATGGATGTGAAATCGACTTTCTTGAATGACATTCTTGAAGAAGAGGTTTATATTGAACAACCTCTAGGATATGTGATCAAAGGCCATGAAGACAAAGTGTTAAAGTTGAAGAAAGCTTTATATGGCTTGAAAGAGGCACCATGAGCATGGTATAGCCGGATTGACAAATATTTCCTAGAGAATGAATTTATCAAGTGCCCACATGAGTATGCTCTCTATGTTAAGGTGTGTGAAAATGGAGATATTTTACTTATTTGTTTATATGTTGATGATTTAATTTTCACGGGTAATAATTCTAATATGTTTGGAGAGTTCAAGCAAGCAATGACAAAGAAGTTTGAAATGACCGACCTTGGTCTCATGTCTTATTATCTTGGCATTGAGATCAAACAAACGGATGATGAGATTTTTATTTCCCAAGAAATATTTGCTAAGGAGATTCTAAAGAAGTTCAAAATGAGGATTGTCAATTCGTGAGCGCTCCGATTGAATGTGGACTTATATTGTCCAAAAATGAAGAAGGTGAGCGGGCAGACACCACTACTTTCAAAAGTTTAGTTGGAAGTTTGAGATGCTTGACTTGCACACGACCGGATATACTTTTTGGAGTTGGGCTTGTTAGTCAGTTTATGGAGACGTTGACCACGACACATTTCAAAGCGGCAAAACAGATTCTTTGGTACATCAAAAACACAATTAATTATGGTTTGTTTTATTCATTTTCTAATGAATTCAAGCTTGTAGGGTATAGTGATAGTGATTGGACCGGAGACATAGATGACCGAAAAAACACTATTGGTTTTGTTTTTTACACGAAGAATACAAAATTCACTTGAAGTTCGAAAAAACAACCAATTGTAACACTTTCTACATGTGAAGCAGAGTATGTTGCGGCTACATCTTGTGTTTGTCATGCAATTTGGTTGAGAATATTATTGAGAGAATTGCAAATACCATAAAAAGAGGCTATAAAAATTTTTGTGGATAACATGTCGGCCATTGCTTTGGCAAAAAACCCGGTGTTCTATGATAGAAGCAAGCACATTGATATGAGGTATCAATTTCTTCGTGAATGTGTTGCAAAGAATGAGGTGGAGGTAAAGTATGTGAAGACCCATGATCAAGTTGCAGATATTTTTACGAAGCCTCTCAAGTATGACACTTTTACCAAATTGCGGGTAATGCTTGGAGTTACAAGGAATTAAGTTTAAGAGGGAGTGTTGAGTATTAAACTTTATTCAATGTTTTGGAGTATTCTAGATTCATGTATTTGGATGGTGCATGTATTGATAATATGCATGTATTGGTGATATGCATGTATTCTAGAATCCTATAAATACCTATGTAAGTATTTGATTCTAGCGAGAGAGAAATGAGCCAAAGTGAATAAAAAATACAATTTAAGTCTCTTCATTTTTTTTCCTATAAGATTTCTCTCCATATTTTACAAAAATTTCTTTCTTTCCAAATATAGTAGACTATGTGAATAACTTAAAGGATGACATTGTGCATAGATCTACCTTTCTAATTCTGACTTACCCAACCAATGAAATTTCTCAAAGGCCTTGGCAGCCACTATGAATTATTGTAAGAGATGGTGGATTTCCAGAGCCTTTGAGAGTAAGTGCAGGTAAAAAAGAAATGGTCATGGGTTTCATTTGTTTCACTACACAATATGCATTGGGTGCTAAAATGAGCTGCAACGCTTTGGATCCTATCTTTGGTGCTGAGTTTCCTTCAGATTGCTAGTCACATTATAAAGGAGCTTTTACCCCGAACCCATGAGGTTTTTGAAAGTTATACCCAAAGAAGGTAGTTTTCAAACTATTTTCCAAACCCAAGTAATTTTAAAAACGTCATTCCAACTGACGTGTTTATACTAAAAATATTAGTGCAACTGATGCTTTTATGTAAAAACATTATTCCAACCAACGTCTTTAAAATACATTTTATTTTTTAAAAAAGTCACATAAAATATTGTTCTAACCAACGTCTTCTTAAAAACGTTGGTTCAACCAACGTTTTATGCGTTTGCTCTCTGACCCTCCTTATCTTCTTTCCCTTCTGCCTTTATTCTCTCATTTTCCTCAAATTGAGATACAAAATTCGAAATCAACCACCCCCTTTCCATACGAAATCACTAGCAATACCACCATTCTAGCCCCCAACCCCAACACCACCACTATCTGAAACCACTAGCAGCACCACCATCACTATCCTATAGCTCTAGAACCACCACCATTCAAAACTCCCAAACCCAGCACCACCACTATCTGAAACTCCTAGCACCAACACCATCGAAAATCCCCAGCCCAAAACCACCACCATCGGAAACCACTAGCCTAGTCCTAGCCCCGGGAAAATCACCATTGTTGACTATTTGTTTCCACTGGAGTTTTTGGGTTGAAAGTCCATCAGAGTTGCTGGGTTGAAGACCACCGGAGCTCCTATATTCGTTGAAGACCACTGGATTCCCCAATGTATGTGACTGACTATGTCTCTCACAGTATGCAGTCAATGTTTGATCCATCTGTTGTATGTTGCGATTATTGTTGTAGTTATGTATGTTTTTATGCATTGTTATTTTTTGTTTTGACGAATGATTTGTGCACTGTTATGTGCACCGTTATGTTCTTTGATTCATCAATGTGCACTGTTTTGTGCACTATTATGTTGTTTTTTTTATTAATGTTTTGGGCAAAGTTATTTTATGTTTTGATTCATTGATATGCAATGTTAATTTGCGGTATAATTCATGGTTTGTGGATTGTTATTTTGTGGTTTGATTGATCAATATGGACTATTAATTTGTGGTTTGATTCATTGATATGCTTGTGATTGTGGTTTCATTCATCAATATGAACCGGTGATTGTGGTTTTATTCATCAATTTGTGGTTTGATAACGTAAGACCTTAGTTGGTTCAACAATATGCATGTTGATTCATGTTTTTCCTTATACTTAACATGTTAATTTACTAATCGATATTATTCTTGTTCACCACAGTAATTTGCTAATCACAGTTTGCATTGTTTTGTGTTAACATAGTCATGTACTTTTGGAGTTTGTCTTGTTGATGATATTTAATTGAGAAATCATCTTTACCAATAATGTATTGCTTCAATCTTACTTCTGTTAAGTACTTATTCATTCCTTCCTCATTCAGTCCTTTGTACTTCAACATCTGTACAAAAGATGAATTTTTAATTTAAAAGAATATAATAATAATTCAGCTTAGCTTTAACCATCTCTCTATCAATCTCATTCGAAGCATCGTAGTTATATCTCTTAGTCATCAAACAACACAATTTTCCTCAACAATTTGCATTCATTGCTAATACGATAGAGTTAGAAAGTGTTGTCATCCTTGAGTTGGAAAGTCTTGATAATTGTGATAGAGTTATAAATGTAAGTCAATTATTGCCTTGTAAGCCAAAAAATCAGCTACATTGTTTGCCTTTATGATAACATGTTTGACTTAAGATTGAATTCCTAACAACATGTTAAAAGCTACACTCTTTTGGGGATTATTTTTTCAAACTTCCCGTTACTAATTGGATCTCTATTTTTCTTAGTTTCCTAGTTGTACACTTCAAGCTCTAAGGTTTTTTATTTTATCAATTCTTCTATGTTTTGTGGATAAATTCCATGGGACTTTGTTTACTATCGATATGTTTTTCCTCAAGTATTAACTCTTTCTATCCATCCCTAGGTTTTTGTGAATTCAGTACTTATTCCGTGACGAAAACTGTTTGAAATGGCGAAAAAACAAGTTTTCGTTTTGTTGTATTTGGGTGGACACATGGAATATGCATCAGATGGTTTATCATACGATTGTCCTCCCAAATGTGGAATTGTTATAAATAGTGACACAAAGCTACCAGAGTTGTTGAGTAAAATTTACACTGTAATGGGGTTGGACAGGTCACATAGTAAGTTGAAGTTGACATGTAAATATCTATTTACACGTGGAGCAGGACTAAACTGAATACATATGTCGGTTTGGAAATTGCGAATGATGAACTTGTTACTTCTTTGGTTAATATGGTACTTGACAACCCTAGCATTGCTAGTGTCGCTTTATACGTGAAAATAGAGGATATCAATGCTGTCATAGGCAGTAGTCAAACCGGAGGGTGCCTAACCACCACTACCAGTCTTGCTTAGGCGAGAGATAGGTACCTTTATATTTTAACTTTCGGTTGGACTGGTGAATGTTCCACTCCCATGGGGATGTAGTTCATGGATGAGTCTGGGCAGTACTTGAACCCCCACCAGTATTCTGGCTTTGATACATATGATGGGTACTCAACCAATAATGCACTGAGTCATAATTTTCAAATGGGTGAGGAGGGGATTGTGTTCGGGGAATAAGATGATGTCCATGAACCAATAATGCAACAAAGCCCAATTCGAGAATATGAAGAAATGTGTGCAAATAATCATATAGATGTCCCTGATGATGAAGAAGAAGAAAAGTACGAGAAATTCATGATTACTGAGCCAGATGATGAAGATGTGAATGATGAAAACATTGAGGCTGGCACGGAGGTTTAGATGCATAAGCCTTACTCCATCTCCTTCACAACCACTAAATTTAGTCAGCATTCTGGAGCAGATAACTTAGTACCATCTTCTGAATTGAATTTGTGAGATCCGGTAAAGATGGAGTTGGTGAAGGGCATGATTTTTAAGAATAAAGCTTCATTGATTAGGGCGGTTAAATGGTATTCCATCAAGCTGAATCAAGATTATGTTGTGGTCGAGATGAACACAACGATTATGGGCTATACAGTGCAACATGTACATGTAGCCTAACTGTCAGTGGAGACAACGTTCTTGTTTTAGAAAAAAACTCAAAATATTTCAGATCACGAAATATGATAGACCTCATACCTCTTCTACCCTCGAATGAATCGCGACTATAAGCAATTAGACTCTAACTTTATATGTCATAATATATTAGGACTTGTTGATGATACCCTACAAACAAAAATGTCAACAATTTAGAAGAATATAAAAGAGAAGTTTAAGTATGATATTTCCTACAAAAAAGTATGGATTGCGAGGAATAAGGCCATTGCCAAGATTTTTAGTGATTAAGACTTGTTATATGACATATTGCCTAAGTTTTTGGGTGCCATCAAGAAGTATAGCCCTGACTCGATTGTGAAGTGGCGGTACAACTATGAATCTGCTGAATATAATTTTTTTTTCAAGTATTCTGGCATTCAAGGCTAGTATTAAAGGGTTCAAATATTGTCAATCTGTTGTTAGTATTGATGGGATATTTCTGCGTGGCAAATACAAGGGAAAGCTATTAGTAGTGACAGGTTTTGAATCTAATAAGCAACTATTTCCTATTGCATTTGCTATAGTGGAAGAAGAGAATCAATCAAGTTAGTTTATTTTCCTATATTACCTTTGGTGGATAGTTCTTAGACATCGGCAAGGGATATGTTTAATTTCTAATAGGCCCGTGGGGATCCTTTCTACTGTGAACATGAAAAATTTTGGGCGGCATCCACTATATGCTTATCATCACTTTTATCTTCGGCATGTGCATAGTAATTTTAATATACAATTTAAGGATGACCATTTGTGCGATCTTATTTGGAGGGCTGGCAAGCCAAGACTGGTTCACAAGTTCGATGCGTTGATGACCTACAAATGCAACGTCAAAGAGGAAACGATAGAGTAGTTGAACAATATACCAATAGAGAAATAGACATTAGCCTATGATGGTGGACGACGATATGACATAATGACAACCAACATTTCTGAGATTTTTAATAGTGTTATCTGAAGTGCTAGGTATTAGTCCATAATTGATTGTGTGTAATCGATATTTTATTGGGTCATTAAGTATCATTTTAAACGTTGAGATAATGTGAAAAAATAAAAATAAAATGGGTTGGAATTCCCTAAGAATATTGTGAAATGAGTACAACATGCACAACAAATGAATCGTGTCCACGAAGTGACGCCATTCATAGGAGCGTGGTCTTGCTGAAATGGTGACTAGCGGTGTTCAGAAGCAAGTTGTATGTCTTGAAGATCGGTCGTACACATGTGGTAAATGGACAATTTACAGAATTCCTTGCTCTCATGTATTGGTTGTTTGCCAAATTTTTTTCCAAGTATAACGACAATTGACATTGTTATCCTGCAGATGATATGACCGATAGAGTTGCATACTAAAACCTTACATTTTGTAGTGAAACTCGTTTTATTAATTAATTGAAGTTTGTTCATTCTATTTTATTAAGTATTTATGTAGGCAAAATGTTTGCATTATATTTGATATATGGTATGTATGTATTTTATTTTTTATATTGTAGATAATCTGGTATGTAGAGTTCCATTTATGAACAGAAGACCAGATTATCAGATCCTTGTATAATATGAGTATAGGTTCACAATCCTAGATAAAATTGGACACACCATCAATATGATTATAGTGTAATATTATGATGTAGTCTGTTTTAACTATAAGAGATTGTTTGATATCTCAAATTATTGCACTGGTATACTTTGTGTATTGAACAAATTCATGTTGAGGTTATTATCTTATTGATTCAAAAAGACAATAAATACCTTATGATTATTATGATTTTTTATACTTCTAATTCTGAAATATTTAATTGCCACATGCATATAATGTTTGTCACTTTAATTCATCAAATAGTGAGATTTATATTAAGCCAATAAACTAGTGAATTGAGAGACAATATTATTTGTATGGTGAAAATTAATTATTAAGTAAATCCATGTCCTGGTATTTGAATGGATTGATAACGTTCTCTTGAGAAAACTCATAAGTTTTGTTCATGTCAAACCCTGCAGGTGTATTTAATTATCTGATATGACAAATAAGTTGAGTGGTAAGGTCTCAATGAATAAAAGAAATCAATTAAATATAATTGTCAATAATTTATTTAATTGATAGACATCTATAATCTTAAAGGTGGAGAGATTATTAAGCAATGATTAAGAAGCTCAAATATAATTTTAAGATAAGGCTCAAGAGATCAATAGTAAGCTTTTAGTGGACTAACTTATTATTAATGGACTGTAGAATGTTTGTTCTGGGTTGAACATAGGAATCCTAGGCCCATTAGAAGTCCGGTCCTTATTGCTTCTTAGGGTTTCTGTCGTAGCCTATATATAGACATTTAGGTTCTCTAAATCAACATCAGTTGATTACCCACATTGAAGACAGATTGAGAGAGTGCAGAAGTTCGGAGGTCCTTGCAACTCACACTGCATCCAAATTTTGACGCTGGGGAATATGACAAAAGGCCATGAGGTTCATCAAGTTGTCTTCCACATTTGTTGGTAGTTTCTGCGTTCGTGTTGAGACAAAATCAATCCAAAGCTATCTCGAAGGTAAACCCTAATTTGGCCATGTAAGGTTTTAATTTTTTTTTTTGTATTCGATATATACGCGCTGTCAATAATTCTTTGGATTTCAGTTCCAACAATGGTAGCCTTTCACTATGGATGTGTTGGGCAGCCTACTAGATTGTTGTTTGCAAGGTCGAGAATTATGGATTACACAGTCACCGCTCATTTGTTTTGATGTGGTAGAGTGACATTTCTCCGACTGTGTTCTCCGACAGTTTGGGTGCAGACAGCCGATACTAGCGGCATGTGATTCGAGTAAGGTGTTGCATGTCACAAATAGGCGTGACAGACCTGGTTATGATTGGAGCACTGCACATCAACACTACATCAACATGTGGGAGCAACGATAGGATACTATTGTTCATGGCAAACTTACCCTCAACAAGATGGATGCCATTGATCCATAAGTGGAGTGATATCAACGTATTACTCGTTTACTTATCGGACCACCCATTTTGCGACTTGATGTTGGTTTCAGTCAGTTGGCAATATCATCGAGCTATTGGTATGTTTTGTTTAATTTGTAGTTAAATTAAACATGTTAACGACTAAGTCCGCTCGACTTCTCTTTCTGAATCAGATTCACTTCTGAGGTGGAGCACACTTGACCCCGCGTCACATGACCCAACTTCTCATGCTTGCTGCATCGAGAATAACTTTTCCTTCTAAACCTTCGTCATTCTTTGAAGAGGGAATTGCTGATAATTTTGGCCGGCTCCGTAGTTTCGAGGCTGGCTTAGATCTTTCTGTCGTTTTAGGGAACATCTTGACCTTCACTTCTATTTTGGTTGGCTCCCTTTGAGGGGTCGCAGGGGCAGAAGGCTAATTGACGAACTAGGGTCCAACAGGATGTGATTGACCTTGTGATTGTCAATCTCCCCAATCACTTGAGACGATTGTGTTCAGTTGTTTTCAACATGAGCTCGTTGTTGGTGAAGGTGACAGTAGCTGAATGCTGGGTAAAAAAGGCTTCCTTTATATTCACCTCAGCGAAGTGACTTTGATATTTGTCAATATCCAACAGCGCCTAGACAAACGCAATCCTAATATCAGATGACAGCATCAAGTTATCATACACGCTGAGGAGGGTTAGAATCTTCTTCAGGTTTTAGAGGTTAGAGCAGTATCATGTACTCTTTTGAGATAGCATTTGGTCTTAGGATTGGTACTGACCAAGTGATCAGAAGGCTCAAGGGTGCAACATGCTAGACCTAAAACTTCAACAGGAGTGATTGAATTTCCTAATCTTTTGGGAAAACTTTCACTACCAATCCCTCTTTTGGAAAGAGTTCCTCTCTCCGTTACACCCATAGTGGAGTATGTCCATTCTTACCTTTTAAGTGACAAAGGAGGTGAAGGTACTCCATTTTACTAGACCGCCTAACTAATAAGGGGCTTTTCTTATGAAAGAAAAAGAACTCCCATTGAGGGTGAACTTGCTTCACGGGACCGCCTAAAGAGACTCCTGGTGTTAAAACAACTATGTAACTTAATGAAGAACTATGACAAAAAATCCTTTGGCCCTTTTAAACCCTCTTGACAAACCATAACCAATTCCAGATCATAAGGGAAAATCAGCTCTATGTGAAAAAGGTGCTTTGCATAAGGTCTAGTTCATTGGGCACTGTATTGGCGACAACATGAGTTGGTTGGATTAATAGAAGGTGAGTGCAAGCCATGGTAGACTGGGAGATGCATTCCTTAGATTAGCCATACTTCAAAATCTGTATTTATAGTTGTATATATAATATGTTAGGTGGTTCATCGAGGGCTTCTCGGGTGATTGGAAGGGCATAAGCTGCTTTTGTCTTACCTTCTATTATTATATTAGTCAAGGGCAATTGAAGGGTGTGCGCAATAGTTTTCTTTTTTTCTCTCGTTCTATCGCTTCAATGCCTATAATTTGAGAGATAATAGGAAATCCTTATCTCGAATTCGAAGATGTGACACAAATAATGACTCTCTTCACCAAGATGTCAGTAGGTTAGGCAGCTCTAAGGTTTTTTATTCGGTGGAAGGCAAGTTGAAACTCTGCCCCAATCAAGTGAAACTAAGGGTCTGAAAGAGTTCACGATCTGATCTATGGGGTGTTAACCCTCGGAGGACGTCTAAGAATGTCCATTAAAAGGAGCAGACCAATGGGGTCATTTTTTCAAGCACGAATAGAAAGATCTATAGGGGTTGTGTAACCTAGAGAGATGGTCGTATCTCTTTGATGAATGTGGTATCGAGGTTCAATTTATTTGAAAAAGAGGCTCATCAACATGCTTAGGGGAGACCATGCGAATGGTTGAATTGATGACTTTGCTTCTATCTCTTTGACTAAACCTGAAGGAGACTTCGATCATTCAACTTTAGCTTCTAAGGAATCATGTCACTTGGAATTCTGGAAAATGAATTTTCTCTTTCAGATCTTGGCCTTTGTAGAACTTATCTTTGATTAGGATTTCGATTGAAAAGATGTTAGGTCGGTTCCTCATGTGCCTAAGAAGCAGGGGCAATCTCCATTGAAGCCAATTCTTTCTTACTCAATATTGATTATAGCAATAGCACTCGATCAAGGGGAGCATAAGCAAGTTCAGTGGTTGAAACCTTTGAAATCAATCGATGGGAATCTCGAAGCTGTCTGAGGCAAGAGCAAACTCATATTAGGTAATGCCGTAGCATCAACTGGTACAAAGGAGAGGCACAATAGCAAAGATCAATCCATTTCAATTTACAAAAAGCATTGCCTTGGGCATGCAACCCAAAAAGATAGAAAGACCACTCACTCAAAGAAAACTCTTTTAGAGCTTGGTACAAGCCAAGCCCCCTCGATTCAGCAACCAGAGTCAGTTATGGAATAGTCTTTTGCTCGGCTTTCTCATTCTTTTGGACTTTCTAGCCAATAGGCTTTATAGGGACCTGCCTTGCTGACAAGTAGGATATGAAATAGAGAGTTGGCCTTGCCTTCACTTAGAAACTCTACACCCCTATTAGAGTAAGGCATGGTCTCGAAACTAGATTCACTCATTCTTGTCTCCAGTAATTAACCTATTCTAGAGCAGTCTGGTGATTAGCCTATCCCGCACTACTCGAAGGCTTCATAAACTCATTGTCGGGTTCTATTATAGTGGAGGTTACTATGAGATCCTTGTGCCAGTGAAGATTGCTTCCAATGATTGGGAAATAAGAAATACAAAAACCATTGCTTTATTTCTAACACTCTGGATAGGCGAAAGGATCTATGTCCTTCCCCAACTTCCTTTCAATCCATATCGGCAAATTTAGGCTTTCTCTACTAGGAGTCATCAAAGGAGGAATGGGCATACGCTAGTTCGGATAAGCCAAGAAAAAATAACCACCGCTTGGTTTTGACACTCAAGCGACCAGTCCTGCTAAACATCGATGCAAAGGTTAGATTTCACCATCACTATCTACCCAACTAGTCCTATTTGTTCTAAAAAATCCAACCTAAAAACTTGTTCTCCCCCAAAAAACCCTTTATCTCCAAGCATCTTTACTAGGTTGGGCAAGCTTTGATGCCCCTACTCCCAAGAAGTTGTTGGTCAGGATCATGGAACTATCGCTCGAGAAGCAAGTAGGTTGGTCCTTGTTTGGTCATAAGGATAATGGTTTTTCTTAGGTCAGGGGTGGTCGGATCGAGGGTTACCCGCGTTGGTAATGGCACAACCAGAAGAGGGGTAGGGTAGACAAGGTTATGCGCTGGGTAGCGTAGCGCATCTGTTTCGAGTACAGAGGTAACGAGGGGTGCTAACCCGGCCATCCAACCCAGTAGGTTAGGGGCGGTCAAGCCATAGGTTCGAATCCTACCACTTTTCTTGTGGATCATCTTGTGGTTACCGAATGATGGGAATAACAAAGCAAAAATTTAGAAATGAGCATGAAATGTCAATATATGAATTACTTCATTATTCGTTATTTTCGGGTCTTTTCGTTGCATTCACTTACAACAAAAAACAACCACCAGTGTTTGGTGTAGCACCTATATTTTGGTACATTCTTCTTTTTTTCCTTGGTCTTTCGTTCCGTCATATTCCTAATAACTTATCCAATTACAACGTATTAACCGCTAATGCACCTTTTAGCTATTCATCCTCCTTGCATTTATGCTGGAGACGTCACCAATGCTATGGGCTTTGGTTTATGCAGATAAAAAATGATGAATGGGATTATGGCACTCCACTCGCCGCCAATGCGAAAGGATGCCTTCAAAAAGAATGGAACGTTATTTCGCTCTACTGGATGCGTCGGATCCCGTATAACAAGCGAGCTCTTTACCCTCAAATTCAAACATGTGGGTGCAAAATGCTATTCTGCTCTATTGTTACCTAGCAATAGAAACCTGTTTATGCTGCTTCAACGACCCTTTTTTGCCTTTTCTTCGCTCTAGACAAGAGTGCCAGTGGAAACGGGGAGGGAACAGGCGAAGCATGTCGTTCATAATGGAAAGAAAGATACCACTACTTCGCCTCTTTGTTAGTCCACTGGCGCAAACATAATGGTCTCTAACTAGGACCAAGAATCCATTCGAATTTGGATCTTGACATGTCTGTGGTTTTTAACCGTAGGTATTTTGCCCGGAAGTTGGTGGGCTTATCATGAATTACGTCTGGGTGGCTGTTGGTTTCAAGATCCCGTAGAAAATGCTTGTTTTATGCCTGGAGTATTAGCCACAACTTGTATTCATTTAGTAATTCTACCCCTTCTTCATTCTTGGATCTCGTTCTGAATATTGTGACTCTTCCATGCTGTGTCTCAGGAACCTTTGCAATACGGTCCGGATTGCTAGCTCCCATTCATAGTTTTGCTATAGATGATACATGGGGAATATTTTTATGGTGGTTCTTCCTTCTAATGATCGGCATATCTATGATTCTTTTCTCCCAAATGAAGTAGCAGGCATCGGTCCGTAGAACCTATAAAAAAGAGATGGTTGTGGTGTGAAGTACTCTTGTGCACCTACGTCACTCAGCTCGCGTGCAACCCGGCCCTGTTATGTTATGGAAGAATTGAGCTTATTGTTGGGCTAGTTATTCAGAGCCAGCAATTGGCCCTTATAGCCTTTGATCGGTAGACTCTTTATAACTTCGGAAGATGGTCAAGGTAGCTTGTTTCCAAGCCACTACACTAGATGTGCATGTATTCAAACCCAAAATGCCTCTGTTCTATACTAAAAGGCTCTTTCGGATGAATAGGGAATTACGTTGCTCTTTGATGTGCAGAATAAGACCTACAAGCTCTCACTTTTATGGCAAAGATCTCTCCACACCAAGGAGGCGAATCACAATGGATCGAAGCCCTCTTTTTCCTTCCAATTAGTGAGATTCTATCTCTTACTTGAGAAATTGTGGTCAACCCTAACTACACCTTCCTCAAAATTGAGACTTTTTTTAAATTTCCTATACTACAATAAGCGAGCTTTCTCGTGAGCTCTTTCTTCTCATGAACATCTCAAAATCGAGTGGGCAGCAAGAATAAGAATCAACCTATAAAACATTTGTTCCCATGTAGTTGGCATTCTAGAAGCAAAGCTTCCTCGCTGCCTGCCTCCTTGTGAGGAAATGCTTTTCATGATCTCCAGTTCTTTCCCACCAGCTTGTTCTTTACTAGGCATCTAGGTGAACCCGCCGGGTTAACTCAACGTAAAGAAAGCTCATTAGGTCAAAACTAGGGGAGTACTTACTAATAGCGAAAGATTAACATCTCTCTGCCCTTTTTAGTAGTTGCGAACATTAGGTAACTTCATGCTGTAAAACCACAAGTTGGTAATGTACTAAGAAACCGCAACTCTATTAGCCCTTTATCTAGAAAAAGATGGAAGAAAGGCGAGAAAGAAAGGTTACCTACTACTAAAAAGGATGGGTAAGAAAGAGAGGTGAGGTGACTAGCTTATTCACTTTATTCAATCTAAAGATTGGCTAAGTGCCCTATCCGCCTTATTGTGATAGGGAACATCCACCGCCGATGGCAGCGGGAAAGACGAGAGCGCGAATGAGGTAGCTTATGCTTTTTTTTCATCCTCACTACTTGGTTTATAGTCGAATTTGGAGAATATGAACTTCTTGCATTCTTCTTTTTGGTACGTTGTTATGAGTAGCTCTGGTGCTCGATATTGGGTCTTAGGTGTGGGTTGAATCATGATAAAGAAGGTTCAATGGTTGTATAATTCCCAAGTAGAAAGTCGCAAAGTAGATGGAGTGATTAAGCAGCCCTTCCTGCACCAACATACATCCAATGGCATAGAGTGATGCGTCAGTATGAACATGGAACTCCTTATTCAAATCTGAAAATTGAAGGATTGAGGCTGA